GGGGTTTCACCATGTTGACCAGGATGGTCTCGATCTCTTGACCTCGTGATCCACCCGCCTCGGCCTCCCAAAGTGCTGGGATTACAGGCATGAGCCACCGCGCCCGGCCTAAAATCTCTCTTTTATTTTTTTTTTTATTTTTATTTTTTTTGAGACAGTCTCACACTGTGCTTGTCCGGGCTGGAGAGCAATGGTGCAATTTTTATATTTTTGGTAGAGATCGGGTTTTACCATGTTGGCCAGGCTGGTCTCGAACTCGTGACCTCAGATGATCTGCCTGCCTCAGCCTCCCAAAGTGCTGAGATGGATTACAGGCCTGAGCCATCGCGTGCACTGATGAAAATCTTGGTTTCTTTCTGCTTTTTGGTAAGAAAAAAAAGAAATTGTGCATTTAACCTGAGTTTCCAAATATATTCTCCATCTCATTTAAGGCTCTACAATATTTCATATTTTACTTTATTATTGTTATTATTTTAGAGAGAGTACCTCACTCCGTCGCCCAGGCTGGAGTGCAGTGGAGTGATCTTGGTTCACTGCAACCTCTGCCTCCTGGGTTCAAGTGATTCTTGTGCCTCGGCTTTCCAAGCAGCTGGAATTACAGGCGCGTGCAAGCACACTCAGCTAATTTTTGTGTTTTTAGTAGAGATGGCGTTTTGTCATGTTGACCAGGCTGGTCTTGAGCTCCTGACCTCAACCGATCCGTCTGCCTTGGCCACCCCCTGCAAAGTGCTGGGATTACAGGCATGAGCCACCGCTCCCGGCCAAATTTTATTTTATTTTTGAGACAGAGTCTAGCTTTGTTACCCTAGTCTGGAGTGCAGTGGTGCAATCATAACTCATAGCAGCCTCGAAGTCTCAGGCTGAAGTGTTTCTCCCCATTTGGCCTCCTGAGTAGCTGGGAGTACAGGCATGAGCCATTGTACCCAGCTAATTAAAAAAATTAATTTGCTTTGGGAGGCCGAGGCGGGCGGATCACAAGACCAGGAGATTGAGATCATCCTGGCTAACATGTTGAAATGTCATCTTTACTAAAAATACAAAAATTAGCCGGGCATGGTGGTGACCGCCTGTAATCCCAGCTACTTGGGAGGCTGAGGCAGGAGAATCGCTTGAACCCGGGAGGCGGAGGTTGTGGTGAGCCGAGATCGCACCACTGCACTCTAGCCTGGGCGACAGAGCAGGACTGTCTCAAAAAATAAATAAGTAAGTAATTAGGTAGGCATGGTGGCACATGTGCCTGTGGTTTCAGCTACCGGGGAGACTGAGACAGGGTCTAGCTTTGTTACCCCAGGCTGGAGTGCAGTGGTGCAGTCGTAGCTCACGGCAGCCTTGAACTCCCAGGCTGAAGTGCTCTGTCCCAGGCGGGAATGCAGCGGCACATTCTTGGCCTACTGCACCCTCCACCTCCTGAGTTCAAGGCGGGAGGCTTGTCTGAGCCGAGAGTTTGAGGCTGCAGTGAGCTGTGATCGTGGCACTGCACTCCAGCCTCGGTGAAGCTCTGTCTCAGAATAAATAAATAAACACAAAAAAGGTGCAGTGAGAATACGGGACTGGAGTCTTTATTTTTTTTGAGGTGGAGTCTCACTCTGTTGACCAGGCTGGAGTGCAACGGCCCAGTCTCTCTTGGCTCACAGCAACCTCTGCCTCTAGGGTTCAAGCAGTTCTCCTGCCTCAGCCTCCCGAGTAGCTGGGATTACAGGCATGAGCCACCACGCCCGGCTAATCTTTGTATTTTTTTTTTTTTTTTTTTTTTTTTTTGAGACGGAGTTTCGCTCTTGTTACCCAGGCTGGAGTGCAATGGCGCAATCTTGCTCACCGCAACCTCCGCCTCCTGGGTTCAGGCAATTCTCCTGCCTCAGCCTCCTGAGTAGCTGGGACTACAGACACGCGCCACCATGCCCAGCTAATTTTTTGTATTTTTAGTAGAGACGGGGTTTCACCATGTTGACCAGGATGGTCTCGATCTCTTGACCTCGTGATCCACCCGCCTCGGCCTCCCAAAGTGCTGGGATTACAGGCTTGAGCCACCGCGCCCGGCCAATCTTTGTATTTTTAGTAGAGACGGGGTTTCTCCATGTTGGCCAGGCTGGTCTCGAACTCCTGACCTCGTGTGATCCGCCTGCCTCGGCTTCCCAATGTGCTGGGATGACAGGCGTGAGCCCCTGCGCCCAGCCCTGCACTGCTTTTATCTGTTCACCCTTTGATGGGCGCTTGGGTGCTGGCACTCATCGGCTGTTAGGGATGGTGGTGCCATGGACATTTGTGTGTAGTTTTCTTTTTTTGTAAAGACGGGGTTTCACCATGTTGGTCAGGCTGGTCTTGAACTCCTGACCTCAGGTGATCCGCCCGCTTTGGCCTCCAAAGTGCTTGGATTACAGGCGTGAGCCACCACGCCCGACCAGTGTGTAGTTTTCATACAGGTATGGATGTGAGTTTCATTTCTCGTGGGCCCACACCGAAGAGTGGACTTACCGCGTCCTGGGCTGGCTCTGTGGCTCTTGGGGGAGCTCCTGGGCTGTTTTCTGTAGGGCTGCCCCTGCTCAGCTTCCCACCGCTGCCTGCGAGCTTCCGATTTCTCTGCGTCCTCACCTACACCTGCGGCTGTCTGTCTTCCTGATGGACACCCTAGTGGGTATGAAGCGGCATCTCGCTGCGGTTTGCTCCCACATATTTTTAAACTCATTAAGTGCCACGGCCCTGTGGGAGGAGGGGAGGCAGGAAGGCCACACGAAGCCTGAGCCGTGCCCCTAGCTGGCGCGTGCAGAGGCCGGGCAGGTGGCGGCTGCGGTTGCAGCAGGATTAGTAGGAACCGGAGAGGTCGCCTTCCCAGGCACTGCGTGTGCCTCCAGTTCGCCCGGAGGCCCTCAAGAGGGCGGGTTTAGGGGCCTGGCTGTTGGTACCAGCTGGGCTTTGTGTGAGGGTCAGGGAGGGGCTTGCTTCAGTCAGGCAGCCCAGAGGTTGTTCCGGTCGCTTCTGCCCACCCTGGCGACCCCTGGCTCTCTCTCTAGCCTCTCTGGCTGGGCTGGGTCTCCCTGGGGAAAGGTGGTGGCAGCTGGTGGGGTGGGGAGCTGGGGACTCCAACCTCAGACCCCTGTGAGCGAGGGGTGGGAGCTTCTGTCCTGGAACCTCTGAGCTGCCACATTGGCAGCTGGCCTGTGGGGGGGACACGGCAGGGGAGGCCAGCCGCCCCTCCCTCCATCCCGGGGCGCAGCCCAGCCTGCTTGTGGGCCATGGGCCTGTGTGTGGGATCAGGGCACAGGGGCACAGGCTGGCCCCAGTTTGCAGAAGTGGGGGATCTTGGGCCCAGCAGGGTCTGGGAGGGGGCCCCAAGTTGCAGAGGCTGGTGGGGGTGGACCTCAGGCCCTGTGGGATCTGGGAAGGGGGCACTGGGTTACAGAGGCACTGGGGTGGTCTCAGGGGCCCAGTGGGGTCTGGGAGGGGCCGCTGGGTTGCAGAGGTAGAAGGGTTTCAGGCCCAGTGTGGTCTGGGAGGGGGTCCCCGGTTTGCTGTCATCACCAGTTGTCTGAGGACAATCACCCAATGTCCACGCTGCCCTGCGGGAGAGATCCTCAATGAAAGGTCTCCACCAAGAGAACTGCGAGTGTGAACGATGTACCTAATTGCCAGGCATCGTGTTGCTATGACAGCAGCTAAGGGGCTGCGTGTCCAGGTGTGGCGGGTCCTCGGGGAAGGGGACAGGCTGCATCCAGCTGCTGTGCTCCTCCAGGCTCCGGCTGAACCCACGGCCTTTGGTCTCCGGCACTGGGCGCTGCTGTGCCAGGAGCTGGAGCTTGTGGAGACGATCGTCCCAGAGCGCCGCGGCAGAGGAGGGGGCTCCTGGGATGGCTGGGCTGCCCCTCCCCGACAGGGGCTCCCTCTGCTGTGTCTGCAAGGTGGGCAGCACAGGCTGTCCCGGTGTCCCCAGCTGTCATCCTCTTGCTCTGCGTGCCAGTGCCCGGGAATCTGAGCGGGGCCAGTGGCCGGGCCCCCAGGCTGCCTCAGTCCGAGGGGAAGCTTCTGTCCTCACTTTGCCCTGGCCATGTCTTCCCAGGTGAGTGGCATCAAGGCACTGTACGAGTCGGAGCTGGCCGACGCCCGGAGAGTCCTGGATGAGACCGCTCGAGAGCGCGCCCGGCTGCAGATAGAGATGGGGAAGCTGAGGGCAGAGCTGGACGAGGTCAACAAGAGGTGAGCATCCGTGGCTGGGCATCATGTCACCCTGATCCTCGCACCACAGGGCAGACGGGGGAGGGTGGGCACTGGGGCTCGTGCGTGGCACCCCGACACGGGCACAGCCTGGAGCTCACAGCTCCTATCCTCTGTCCCCAGTGGCTGCCACGTCACTTTCTGTGCTGAGGAAAGTCACAGATGCTCACGTGGGACAGCGGGAGACGCAGGGCAGCTTAGGCTGAAAAGCAAAATCTCCCGCCAGCCTCCCCAAAGAGGGCTGCCCGGCCAGCTTGGCCCGCCGCCCTCACCTGCACCTGCTCCTGCTCCCGTGCGTCTAGACCACGGGCCACGCCCATGCACAGGAGTGAGACGCTTCCCACCTCCGGACCCATTGTGGGCGTTTCCCTGTGGTCGGCTGTTCCTCTTGCCGGGGTTTTGTTCAAGCTTCCGGGACGCTCCAGCGTGTGGTGTGTGACCAGGGTGGTCATGGGTTGTTGGGCTGCCCCGTGGTTGGCTGCAGAGTGCCTCTGGGTGACGGCTGTCCATCGGGTGTCACCATCTGGGTGACAACTGCCCCCATCGGCAGAAACGATCAGCCCCGTCCTACTTACACCGAGTCTTGCCTGATTCTTGGCGTGGTGCTTTGGGCAGCAGTTTAAATAGAGCGATGATGGTAAAAGGCGTATTTATTCAGAGGCGCCGGGAGGCCAGCGAAACACTGAGCTCAAGGCCTTTCTTGATTTGAGGCTGAAGCTGGCGCTAGGTCTCCGGCCGCCAGCGTTCTGGCATCTGCAGGTGCCTCTGCTTGCCTTAGGCCAGGGGTGGGCCAGGGTCTTCCCACACTGCCTGTTCTTCCAGAGCCACGCACACCTGCACCCCGGGCCTGGCTAAGCCCGGAGGGACCCGCTGGTAGGAGGGGTGGCACCTCGGCCATCTGGTACGGGGGTGACAGTAGCCAGTGGCTTGAGAATCCATGTTGTCCCTGAGTTGGAGTGTGGCCACAGGGACCCCGTGTCCAGCAGTGCTGGGGCTGGCATGCGTGGGGGCTGAGGAGCTCTCCCTCTGACGCCCTTCTGCCTAGGCTGGCACTGCGCCCAAGGAGAGAGCTGGCTTCCCTTCAACAGAAGGCCCTCCAGGCCAGCCCAAGGACCACTGCCCACCTCCCCGGGGCCCAGGGCTCCTGGAGGGACCACTTGCGCCCTGATAGTGGCCGTGAGCTAGGGACCCTAGGGCCAGGCACGAGCGGGGACAGGCTTCCCTCCCAGCACATCCCACACAGCAAGGTGCACGGCGGGGCCTGCGCGGGCCGTGGCTCTGGGCTGTCTGCCTCCAGGGCTCACCATACTTAATAAGCAGGTTACCCCGTGGAGCAGAGCAGGATTAGAGCGTGGACAGGGTGTTCTGAGCTTCCGTGAAGTCAGAACTGCACTGTACCTACGGGACGGAGCTGCCGTGGGCCCCGCACCAGGCGCCTCTGGACCCTTCCCTTTACAACATTGAAATTTACAGGTTGTGAATTTCACCTCAAATTAAAACATCAAAAAAAGAAAACGCTCCATAGTGCCTGCCCTAGGTGTTGAGGAATTCCCGGTTCAGGACCTCCTGAGCAGTGGGTGACATCTACAGATGCCTGTCTTTCCCTTTTCTTTGAGAAACGGTCTCCTTTGTTGCCCGGGCTGGAGTTCAGTGACACAGTCATAGCTCACGGAAGCCTCGAACTCCCAGGCTCAGGTGATCCTCCTGCCTCAGGCCCGCCCGGAGTAGCTGGGACCACAGGCACGCACCATACACCCAGCTGATTTTTTAACTTTTTGTTTATTTATTTTTGAGACAGAGTCTTGCTCTGTCACCCAGGCTGCAGTGCAGTGGTGTGATCTTGGTTCACTGCAACCTCCACCTCCTGAATCAAGCGATTCTCCTGCCTCAGCCTCCTGAGTTGCTGGGATTACAGGCCCGTGCCACCATGCCTGGCTAATTTTTTTACCATGTTGGCCAGGCGGGTCTCAAACTCCTGGGCTTAAGTGATCCACCTGCCTCGGCCTCCTAAAGTGCTGGGATTACAGGCGTGAGCCACTACGCCCAGCCTAATGTTTTTCTTTTTTTATTTTTTTAATTTATTTTATTTTATTTTTTTTTGAGACGGAGTTTCGCTCTTGTTACCCAGGCTGGAGTGCAATGGTGCGATCTCGGCTCACCGAAACCTCCACCTCCTGGGTTCAGGCAATTCTCCTGTCTCAGCCTCCCGAGTAGCTGGGACTACAGGCGTGCGCCACCATGCCCAGCTAATTTTTGTATTTTTAGTAGAGACGGGGTTTCACCATGTTGACCAGGATGGTCTCGATCTCTTGACCTCGTGATCCACCCGCCTCGGCCTCCCAAAGT